TCTTAACAATTTTAATTTAAATCACACATTGTAAAACTTTGCAAAGAAATAAAAATTGAATTTGAATATTCAGCATGCAATCAATCAGGTAGTGTCCTGGGCTCTCTGCTATTTCTAATCTACATCAATGACCTTTCAAATGCTCCTTGGGATCTTAAACTAATTCTGATGCAACTTTTGTCATTTCAAATCCTGAACGATCAGGCTGCACTTACAATTACAGTCAATGCTAACCTCGCTAAAATATCAACTTTGGTTACAAGTAACACACTCAATATAATGTCTGGGAACAAAGCCAATGATAGTTTTAAAAAAGATAAACAATACATCAACTAACAAGCAGAACAAGGCTTATTACCAAGGAATTTATAGGAACATAACCCACGAGATAAGTTGGAATCTATTGCTATATTAATACTGTACCTTTCCGGTGTAGACTCCTTATAACCAAAATAAACACAATTCAGATGAACAACTGATTATAGTATGACTACCCCTAGCTAGGAAAATCATTACTTCGAAGGATTTCCACTGGCTGTCTCCATTCTTCTCATTCAGGTGTCGAAGTATTTTGCTTTGCTGGAAAGATCAACAAGCCCTAGCATAATTGTTAATTACAATTAATTCTGATTTTGGCTCCAACTCCTTTCCTTGACGTTTTGAATGATAACAGCTACTCCCATCCGCCTCTCAATACAACCAATGGCTCACAACATTTAACCTATCTGTTAATACTTCTCCCAAAGGCAACAAAACGATATATTCTCCACTAATTTTTTCATTATTAAATGTTATTTTAAGCTTTCCCAAGTTATTTACTCAAGCTCGTATCCCCTTGCTTGGTTAAGTTTACATGTTACAATAATAATATAAGATTTGTTTGGATTTTTTAACCTGGATGATTAGCTACCCAGGTTAACCCAAGTCATTGAGGACTTTTTTCCATTAGGTCCTTCAATCCTGTCCCCCAGGATGCAACCCACAACAGTCTACTAACACCCAGGTACCTACTTACTGCTAGGTGAACAAAGATAACAGGCATTCTAAGGAAACATGTACAAAGTTTCCACCCATGCCGAGATTGAACCATGGATAGTCAGTGTGTGAGGCAAGAGCATTACCAATTGAAAGAATTTTCCTCAATTATAAAATGCCTGTCTAATATTCATGTGGTTAATGCAACTGCTGTAAAAAGTTAAAAAATCACCTTGTAACACCTGAAAATTTAGTCTTTTGAAAATTAATTGGGTTCTCGAGAAAATGGTAGATGCACCCTCAATCAGCAGAGGAAAGCCTGCAAGGTCTCTTGTTCATTCCTGTCTATAGTATCTGAACAAAACTGAATTCAATTTCGTACCGAGTGCAATTAATTAGAAGCCTCATTAAGATGGACCCAAATGAGTTAAGATTTGATAGTCCCTCTCCCAAAGTAACTGTTCTTGCCTCTCTTACCAGGTCTACAGTGTATCTTTCCTTTTCAAAAGAAAAATATACACCACCATCTCCCACGACCTAATAACTGAGTTGGCTATAGTTTCATTACTCAATTTTAACATCTCATTAGAGACCTGATATGATTACCCTTTCCAAGGTAACTTATTTTTGTTCCAGATTTATGTGGGTGACCAGCCTTTGTATACAAGCTTTGTCTCGTGCACTTCATGGTTTCCTGAACTGGACCTCTGTGATGAGATTTTTGTCACTGAAGTGGCTAGTTTATTGTGCACCCCATATCCATTCAGTGGACAGTAGCCCAAGAGCATATGGATACACAAAAGGCTTAGTAACTAGGCCCTAAAAGTGTTAACAGGAGTACATCTGGATTTATATCTACGTTCACTCATTTGTTACAAGCAATTTAGCAAATTTGCTTAGTATAGTATCTTATGTGAGAGGCTTAAATATATGCATCTTTATAACAAGGGGAAGTGCTAAATTCATATGGGTCACATCACCTGGAAAATTTTAGGTACTCTGGTTCGATCCCAGGAATGGTATGATAAATCTAGCTCCTTGAATGAATAGCCCCTCAGTCATTAAGGCACCCTCTCCACACAGATTTGTGAAATACACAGTGAGTGTACGTATATACATTATATACACATCTCTGTGCAAAAACCATAATAGGAACAGAAGACTTTATAAAGCCTTGCATTATTATTACATATATGGGAGAATGCTAAACTCTTAAGGGTTGTTAACAGAATCTTGGGGAAGGAAAGGGGAGGGGGACAAATTAGAAGTCACACAGCACCTGGGGCAATAGGTGGCAAACAAGTTCGAGCCACAAGAAATGCTGGATACAGTAAGTTCAATTCCTTGGATCAAGAGCCCCAGCCCCTCACACACAACAAGGACCCCACCCTGAGTGAATTAAGACCTGATTTCAGCCTAGTTGATCAAGAAAGCACCAGACAAGCTTGCCCAGGGTCAGGCTATAGGAGCAGGAAAAAAATTTCGAAATTGGTCACAAAAAAATATGGGTATGGAGCTCATACATGTCCAGGGCAGATCGATAAGGGATCAGGCAAGTATAAATATATTGGCAGTCTCTGTTTAATATACTAACACAATATTAAGGGAAAGGTTCAAAGGTTCAATCACTTTGGCCAGGGAAAGTGATGCTTTTAACAATGAAGTATTCACACTATTTTAGGGACAGTAATTCATTCAAGAATGGAAGAGGGCCTTCATCTGCACTGTAGCCAACTTTAATAATAAATTTTTATTGTTACTATTAACTGAATTTAAAGGAATGTTTGAGTTAGCATTAAAGTATCTGTATCATTCAAGAGAATATTTATCTTACTTAGGTAATACCTTTGGAAAACCATAAATGTATTAATAAATTTAGTAGCAGCATTTTTTAAAAAAGAATGTTTAAGTTTAATAACTTACCATAAACCTTAACAACAAAGTTAAAAGGTATGTATTATATACGAGTGGTTTTAAAAAATTATACAAGAGGGCTATCAAGTTAAATATCTCAACCTAAATACAGTGTGCCATTTTTTCCCACCACCAGAGGTAAACTGGAGATTTGAATGCCCTGTGGTGTCTTACTTCGTTGTTGCGCCGGGTAAGCGAGTCGTGGTCAGCCTCACTACTGCAGCTGGAAGTATTGCTGGCCAAGGAGTACTTCCTCTGATGGCCACCGCTACCCCCAACTGCTCCGTTGTTCAGGAATTGACTTGTAAACAGATTTTCGTTACTGTTCGATTTCTGCGTCTTGTATGGTGTGTGAACATTTATCGTGTTAACATTTTCTTTATCAAGAGTCATCTTTAGGAAATTTTTGGCATTCTCTTTGTTTAAAGATAATGTAGTACCAGCAATTGGGTGGCAGCTGATTGGGCTAGTACTACCAGAGGTGTTTCTGGAGGAGGAACCACTGTGAGGCGCACTGACATGCGCTTCTGAAGACTCAAAGTGAAGGCTCGTTACAGCTCGAGCAGTGTGTGCATAGGTGGGCTGGGAGCCTGTGTAGCCGGGGAAGGGCCGGGCCACACTGTTATGATTGGAGCCGATGTAGCGGATGGGCTGTGAAGAAGGGAAGGAGGGAGAGACTGTTAGACACACAACATAGGGTGCAGCAGACGGTAGCCATGCTCTCATCTTGCTACCTACCTACTTAGCGTTAGACAAACATGTTTCTATACGGTAGTAATAACTTAGTTAAAATTTATTGAACCACACAAGACATGTCATGTAAAATAATGTATTAATGGGATTTTAAAAATTAAAAAGTACACACGGTAATTTTGTCAAATCGTAAGTTCCTGTATTAGTTTTAGTATTTTCTATAATAATGGGACAAGTGGATTATTTGACACATGGGCATCTACACCTGGTCAATATACCACATATGGCACATAAAATCAAATAGAAAAACACTCAATATATCTACATCCACGTATCATTCGCTTGTTTTTTAGTTTTGATACTTCTAATTTGGATTCATCGTCTAAGCACAAAACTAGAGAACATAAACGATATATTACTGTAGGTAATGTACACCATGCAATGTTAGTATAATGGTAAGCCTGAAGCGCACACACACAACTCAGGACTTAAAACACGATGGAGGTAAGCATGCAAATGATGAAAGATAGTAACGGTAAACTGGCTCAGGAACCCCACCAGTTTGAACCTCTTGAGGAAGTAGCAGCAGCAGTATTAACGCTATTAGTAGTAGCGATGGAGGAGTTGCGTCAAAAAGGCTGGCATGTAGCTAGATCCTTCACATTACTGTAGCTCCCTCAGTTTCTCACTGGCTCCTTTGGTTGCTAAGAGAATGCACGCAAATCCTTTCCAGGTCCCTAATGTCTAGTAACGAAAACATTTTCTAGAGAAGTTGGGGCTGCTTGAGAAAGTTGAGGGCACCGGTTGTTTTGCAGTGACTGCCTACCTGCTAACTTTTCTGCTGTTGACGTTCTTATCGCTGCATATACCAGTCACTTCTGTAGTCGGTTCCAGCAATTTATGTGATACGAAGAGCATTGCTCTCCCGTGTTACACTCGCATATGACCCACCAACAACCAGCGCTGTCAACTAATATACTAACTTACAGTACTCACAAAATCGCCTAACTCACTAATTAAATTTATCAGCGAGTATGGATTTTTGAGATACCATAAGATGAAGGGCGTGGTGGTGGTGCTACTGCAGGAACGACACGTGTACAAACACTATGTTAACCGTTATCACTTTTGTCACCATTTAACTCAGCTACCTATCATACACATCCTTTACACAATACTTGTTGCACTGGGATATATATACAGCTTTAGCAGTTTACTTTCACAATTCTAAGTTTTCACAAACCTATCACTACAGTTTCAGTAGAAAAGGACACTGACACTTGTACTAGTTCAGCGTTACCTTTAGCGCTTTCTGTGACTAATAAAGTAATAATAATTAAATTAATAAAGGGGCTGCATTACTTTCACAGACTTAAGACACTTATCCTGCAACCCACAATGTTATCTTCTTTAATTAAAACACATTATATTTACCAAAGTACTCCAGTATTTTTCCACATTAGCATTATATTTAATATCCTCATTCTGAGGTATTATCGAAGTCTCATTAACCCAATGAGAAATGACAACTGACTGACTACCCTGGGAACAATAAAAAAAAACGATGGGGTAAAATAGGTCATTTTAGTCATTAAATGAACAAGAATACTAAATAAAGCTAAGTCGGAGATGAAAAAAATATTAATTGGGGGGGGGAAGAGGAGGGGGAAGGGGAGACTGAAGTTATCTTGTCGGAAAGAGAGGGTTATATAATAGTCAGGCATCGAAGGAAGGAGAAAAGGCTTGCTTGTAGCTTGGAAGTCATCGAGGTAGGTGAAGAGGCCTATCTTCTAGGTAACGAGTGAGGCGGCGAGTAGAGAAAGTGTTACCTTCTTGTTAGCAGCGAGAGAGGTGGAGGTGGCGACGGGCACGCCCTCTGGAGTCGTCTTCACTTGGGCCAGGGGCGTCACGGCTGGCTTCCATGTGGGTGCACCCCTGCAACATGCAAGTATCATCAACATTTCTGCTGTAACAGCGTCTGCAAATCATGACCCGAAATTTATACAGTTTTAGCCAAACCGTTTCAATTGGGCAAAACAATTTTATCTTTTGCTGCTACTGATTCATTACCTTTGTAACTTGCTCAGCTATCAAACTTTGGGGCCCAGTCCCTGGACCCATTATGTACCTCTGTAATCTTTTGACTACTGCCCACAGGATGGATATGGGGTGCATAATAAACATATTAAACTAACACGTCTAATAATCTTCACATTGTAATACTGATTTATTGCAAGATCCTCTCGGCCCAATTCATGGTTTAAACGTTACTTATCTTTTGAGCCATTTCCATCAGACATCCTAGTTTTATCCTTTATCAAACGCATATTTCAGATTTTGCCCCGAAGGGAGTTTATTGGGCAGCACCACACATCCTTAGTTAATATGCTGCAATAATGACTACATGTCTGTCCAAATAGTTGACACGACATTGGCGATAACAACCCACCGGCTGTTATCAACATACATGTATATACCTCTGCAATTATGGTATCTTTCTATAGGAATCAGTACCTTCATAGCATCCCTGTTTACAGGTATCATTACCTTTATAAATTACAGTATCCTCATCTACTAGTCTTTACAAACACAGCATCCTTATTTACAGGTACCACTATCTTCTCAAATTTTGTTTAATATTATGGATATGTAAGAAATGAATCCCAGCTTAAAATAATCTAATTAATTTAAACCTTACTCCTCCAGCGGTTGATGTGGAACTGGCGCGCCTTTGTTGACATTCGATTCGTCTTTATTTACATGCGCTATGACTGATCAGAAGCGTCTGTACTAACTGTTGATTGACCCAGAGGTGCTGCATATCCCAAAATGCATCATTTTTGCTAATATCTCTCAAAATAAGTTTTGCACAATAAATAATGTACTCTTTAAAAAAGAAAAAAACAAGCCCTACATTAGCTTCTTCATATATGCCTTAAACATTTTCGAATGTAAACCATTTGTTTTAACCGATCTCACCTTTATGTGAAGAACATAAGAATAAACACTGCAGTAAGCCTATTGTCCCATGCTAGCCAGGTCCAATTCACCCAACCAAAACACACACGTCCCAACCTCTATTTAAAACTACCTAAAGTTCTTGCCCCAGTGACGGTGCCTGGGAGTGATCCAGTTATTCACAATTCTATTGTCAAACCAGTATTTTCCTAAATCTTATTGTCAGCACGTTATCTATATCCCCTTCATTCCGCATTTCCTTTTTGTACACTTCAATAGTCCCCCCCTTAATTTACGTTTTTTTTTTAAGTGAAATTTCAGTACCTCCAGCCTATCTTAAAAAAGGTTTTCGATACACGGGATCAACTTCGTCCTCTATATTTTCCAACACATTTATGTCATTCTGTAATACGGAGGCCAGAACAGAGCAGGAAATTCTAAATTAGTTCTCACAAAGAAACAAAGTTTAACCTTAGGACTCTATTATTTATACTTCTTTATATATAGCCAAGAATCCTTTTAGCCATATTACGAACTCTCATGTACTGTTGTCTTCGCTTTAAATTCCCCCTAACCAAAACAATCTTTTTTGCTAAATAATGTAGAGCTTTGACCATACTCTACAATACTTAGCGAACCATATTATTATTATTATTATTATTATTATTATTATTATTATTATTATTATAAAAAGAATCGAAAAACCCCTCAGCGAAACCATAGTTGTTTTATTTTCCAAGGATAGCTTTTTTTGCTCGCATTGAACTGTATCTGCCACTTTGCCGATCACATCACCCTATCCAGGCTATCCTGTAGGTTTCTGGTGTCCTCGTCAGAAATTGTCTGACGGCCTATTTAAGCAGACTTATGTCACCATTTATTCATTCATCTCGTTTATGTAGACTGAACAAGGGTCAAAAGTAAGTTTCCCTGTGGCACACCAAACAGCTCGTCAGGCCCAATTATTATTTTTAATCAAAAAGAAGCTCTAAGCCACAAGGGCTATACAGCGCTGCTCGTCAGGCCCAAGCAACTTGTTAGGCTTCAATATATTAAGTAATGAGGACCATGTAACTAGTGACTTGTATCTTGGACAAGGCAACGCACTAAAAAAGTGGTGTTTATGGAACTGAGGCCGTTAACATACAGTCCTTGTGTGCAAGTGTCCGTGAGATGGCCCAGATTTTTTTTATGCATTTTACACTCTTTTGAATTCGAAAATTATGGAACATACGATTTATACACATAGGGACCGTCTGTGTGAAAAATAATGCACTTGCGTGTTCACGAGTTGGGGCATACGCCCCGTGTGTGGTGTGTGAAGCAACACGATTTCGTGCATCTCCACTATTACCCCCGTCTTACTCAACCCACTTAACTTCCACCCCACACGCTGACCACCACCCACAATTTCACACATTTCCACACCCCTTCAGAGCAAGCACCTCCACCTTGAACAAGCTTGGCGAGTGTCTTATACCCCTCCCCCCCACAATCACACCCTTGTGCTCTCTTGGAGGCCCCGTGCCAACCTAAATCTTCCCAACTTCATCTTAATCACAGAGGCACCTCCGACCTCAATCGTGTCTTGAGTTTTATTTTATAGCACCTTAAAAGTTAGTTGTGCCGCCTGAGTGACTAGTTTGTGCACCCCATGCTCATCTCGTGAGCGATACCGAAAAAAACAGGATTATAAAGGCCACAATGAGTGTCCTTCCCCGCTGGGCACTGTTACATCACTAGAAAGAAATATTAGTCATTTCATGTTTTACATTTCCTTCATATCGCTGATGTACACAACGTAGTATGGAATACAATAAAAAATAACCGACTACCGCTTAAAAAACACTGGTTATAAGATTGCAATCTCTATAAAAGTAGTTTATCCAGTAGATGCACAATGAGGATACAACCTCAAGATTTCAAATGTATTATCATTAGCAATGAAACGTTTTGCCGTATCTTGTAAGATTTGCATGGAAGTCTCTCTGAAAGGTTGGATGTCTGGACACTTAAGATATAACGTTCCAGTGTATGGTCCTGTCTCTGTCCAGTGTCCACACACTTTGCATTTTGTCATTGAATCTCCATACAAATCATACTACCAGAGATGCTTAAACAAAATCTCGTCTCTAACCCAACACCTTGAGCATATATTTTTAAAAAACGATTTAGGGGAAATTACACGTGTGGCAGAATATTGGAAAAAATACGCATGTATAGTACGTGTTTATTTATCAAATTATACTTTGTGTATGCTTGAGCTTCGGTAGCAGAGGAACTGCTCTTACACTTAGCGGGCAAAATGAACTGCAACTCTTGTGGCTCCGCCTTAAGACCAGTAATGTTTTCTTTTCTAAACCCTTAGATTTTGTTATATATAATCTTGAATCAATATATTAAGTGTTTTCAGTACGTTTTAAATTGACTACTTACTGACTACCGTTATACTTGCATTTTTCCTCTTGTCTCTTAGGCTCCTTTGTAGATTCAGATTCCATATGTCCTCTTTTTTGATGGTCAACGTCAAGACTCTCTTGAGTAAGTTATGTCATGATCATTTATCTCTGGTCTTTCAGCACGTGTGAGTGAAGACAAATTTTTGAAAAAAAAAAAAAATAAATAAATAAATAAAAAAATAACTAGCGAAACAGGGAAAAAAAAAAACTAGAAAAACTGCGCCCAAGAACTTCGCGAGAGTAAAGCAAGAGAAGTAAAAGTTCCACATTTTCTGTGATAAGAGACCTTTCAAAAGGGGCAGGTGACCGGAAAAGTTTCACCAGTCAGTGGCTTCATCAATACAATACAGAGAACGGTGGAAGATATGAAGTAGAGCGAAGTAATCAGTCCCTCAACCTGGAGATGTGTTTGGTCCATCAGTCGTGATAAAAGTACAGCATATGCAGAGAAGGGGGAGGGGGTGGGGGGAGCTTACATACTGGAGACAAGTGTGACAAAGCAAACCAAACCAAACCATACCCCCGGCCGGGATTGAACCCGGGATTGAACCGCGGGTTCAATCCCGGCCGGGGGTATGGTTTATTTGCAATCGTGTCATTACGATTTCTTGAGTCATCTAGTCGTGACAAAGCAGTTGAAGGCAGCGTCACTGCCTAACCTATTGGCAAGACCTACTTCCACTAATGTATTTGGTCCACCAGTGAAGCTTCTTCCAACTGCTTCGCCTCGCCTGTCTCCAGTATATATGACCCTTTTCTGTGCATGCTGTACTTTTATCAAGACTGGTGGACAGAATACATCCCCAGGTTTTGGGACTGATTACCCCAAACTCCTCCACAGACACTGGCCGGTGAAACATTTCCACAAAGATACCTAAGTGTTGCAGAATGTCTCATTCATCAACGTGTCTGTTTTCTAAACCACTTATATAATAAGGACAAAATTAAACAAAAACAACGAACAAACATTCAACACATATAAATACTATCATACAAAGTTAAATAACCAATATCAATTTAAACTCTAACTATATTAACGTCAAGAGACTCCTAAAAGTTCCCGGAAGTCTCTACAGGCACCACGGTAATTATAAAAATCTTAATGAAAGTGAAAATGACTAAACCGTGGGCACTTTTAAAACATAGTCAACAATGCGCGGCACGTCGCAAGCTACACAGGAGGTCAGAAGTGGAATCTTCGAAGCAAATACACTGGATAACCTAAAGTTTAACGAGAGGATTCGGGTTTCCTCCTATGAAAGTATTTCCTCTGTAACAACCAATGTGCGCTCCACTGCCAAATATAACGGCAAGCTTAGGGTGATCATTCCCAAGTACGAGGTTTACAAGTCACCACAAAGAAATTCCCAAGACGCCGCCGGTAAACAAAGCAGTGGGAAATGTATAATGGTAAACCTGATAAGGTGGTCACCATGACTGCCTGCCTGATCTCAAGCCGGGCTACTAGACTGGAGGGAAAAAACTAAACCGGTCACAGGTATGACTCTGTATCCCAGTAACAATGACACACCCAGTATTAACTTAAGTCTAAAAGGTAG